TATAAATTAAAAGCTATATAATTGTTAATTATAACAATATATAACTATCTTTCCAGATTTTCAGTTTACTTTTTGTTTCTTTCAAAAATTTAAAATATATTTTTGAATGAAATAAAGTCAATGACAATATTAGTTTTATTAGTTTAAATTATATTTAAAAAATGTTAAATTATTGGTATAATAGTAATGTAAAAGTATAAGGCTAATGTTCTTAAAATATAACTGACAAATTCCATTATGTTTGCTTGAATTTTATTCAAGAATTCAAATTAAATATGATATAAATTGATTGCCTATGTACAGTACAGTACAGTACAATTAAACTTACAAAATTTACTATTATTGACTTTATATTATTAAATTTAAAACTTTAAAATTTTTTAAAAATAGATATTGATTTCAAATAAACATAAATTTATAAATTCGTGGCTATGACTTTATCTGTCAATAATTGTTTTAAAATTTAAATAAATAAAAATTTATGTAATAAAATATAATAAAATTTATAATTTTGACTTTTATACTCTCCTAAAAAAGACAGGATAAAAAAAATTATCATTAGTTTTATTTTTTTAATGTTAAATTATTACAGTAGAGCGCCGATTATCCGAATCTATTGGGGACTGGGATTGTTCGGAAGATCGATGTTTCGGATAACCGATTATGTACGAAAAAATATATTAATTTATCCCATCTTGACATTTTTCTCCGTTGCGTGTCGCTTCGCGTTGAATTTTCGTCGATGTTAAGCCTAACGAAGACTATTGTATCGTTAAAAATTATTTTTTNTAATTCGTAAAATGGAATCTATTCGTAATATTATTATTAAACTTTCTTGCAGGAAAGTATAGAATTAAAAAACAAAAAAAAAATAATTACGTAGCATATTTTAATTATTTAATCGTAGGCCTCTAGTAATTTTCGTCTATATTTAAAAAAATAAAATAAAATTCTTCAATTATTGTTATTACAAGTTTAAAAATGAAAGTTAACAAATAACTAAAATTAATTAACATTTGTTTATGACTTTTTTTAATTTTTAAAAATTACGCTAAAATAACGAAGGAACTAAATAACCAAGCACGTTATAAGCTCAATTAATTTAATTTAATTCGATTACACATTTATTTACAATTCAAAATAGAAAATTTTTGTAATTCGAAATCGATTTTAAATAAACCGATAAATTTAATTATATACGTCAAGAGTCGTCAACATTTTTGTTACTAAGGGCGTAATAAAAATTTTAAAAATCATCGAAAGTTCATAGTGTAATGTTTGATATATATAAACAGTTTAAAAATTTTAAATTAATAAAAATCTTGAACTTGTATAAAGCTACTTTTTTAAACAAAGCATTTTAATATTCTTGTGTTTTCTTTACAAGTGGACATCATATTTGTAACATTTATAATTGTGTTTCAATATACTTTAATCGTACAGTAAAACAAAGATTATTGTGTGTTTTCAATACTGAATTTAAACAATTATATTTCGAAATCTATATGTTATATTTATGTTTATTTTCAGGAACTGATTAGTAATTAGATCTATAGATGTCTGGACCATTCAAATATTATTATTTTTTTAAATCGTTTCAAATTTTAAGATTAAATTAATAAACTATTTTCTGTTATTCTTATGAAAACATTTATCGATTTTTGATAAGAATATTCGACAATTAGAAAAGTATAACAGTTCAATTAATGCATTAGTATTTCAGGAATCTGCACTGTTACAATGCTATGTCTGCTGTTAAGTGTGCCAATAGAACAATGCAATAGCTCAGTTTTATTTTTAAAAATGATCTACGAGTAATTTTCTAAGTCAAGAAAAATTACTATATTCGGATGTAGAATAATCTCATTTAACTTAATTTTTAAAGCATTTTTAAAACCATAGAAATAAATGAATAGATTCCATTTTACGAATTAATAATTCGTAAAATGGAATCTATTCGTAATATTATTATTAAACTTTCTTGCAGGAAAGTATAGAATTAAAAAACAAAAAAAAAATAATTACGTAGTATATTTTAATTATTTAATCGTAGGCAAAATAAAGCAAAATATATACTCTTACTTCTGTTTATGTTGTAAACATTTTAGTTATTGATTTTCATACCTTTTTATTACCCGTCACAAAGTAATGAGATATTCTTATAAATTATTCTTATAGTTATTGTGTTCTATAAGCGCATGTTACTTGTCGTGAATGTATGAATTTTTTTTAAAAAGCTTAAAGCTTCATCTGTGAATGATGTATGAAAAAATGTCTAGTGAATCTAAATACAGCGAGCAAAAGTTATTGTGATATCTGCTGCAATTTCAAATCATATATTTTTTTTAATTTATTTAATTTAAAATATATACTCTCCGCCTCAAATTAGTAGTGTCTTCTCCCTGTACATAATACTTTTCCTGACAACAACAGAGTAACTCAGTTCAGGAGAAAATGTTTGAAATGAAATCATGTGACATCTGTTCTATACCGGAAGTTTGTATATAGTTAATCGCTGCTTCCTGTCCCGCGCTTTCTGTATCTGGTCTTCACTATTATCTATCTTACAGCATTCTCGAGATTAGGGAAGGACAGACAGCAGACGGACGACAGTGGAAATTTATAGGCCTACAAATTTTTTTCAAATTACAGAGCCTAATAAAAGGAATGTAGAAAGTGTCGTAAAGTAGAGAGAAAGTATGATAAAAAATAAAATTAAGAATAAAAATAAATTAAAATTTTTAATTACAATTAATTAATTATGAATAAGTCTTATTTTTCCCTTTCCAAGTTTTTGTGTTTTTATGTATAGGTCCAGAAGTTATAACGTGCCTAACGTCGTAGGTCGCCAATGCCTAATGTATTCTATCATCTGAGATTTAAAAGATGTAGATCATGCCATGAGAGATTGAACACTACATTTGAAATTATAAAATATATGTTTATTATGAATTTTAACGTTATAGTTAGCCCAATGGACACCACATAGTAATATGTCGTTTGTGTTTTTTTTAAGGATCTGAATCAAACTGCAATAATTTTTCATAAATATATTCTAAATCTTTGCTTTTAAATATTTTATTCAGTTCTGTTATGATTAAGTAAATCGTATGGGAAAAATGATTCGTTGTGCTCTAGTATTTTATGTGATAAATTCAATTTAATATACAAGTAGTTATACAATATGAATAAATAACTTTTATAAAACAATAATTATATGAATTTATATTTTTTATAATTAATTCAACTCACTTTATAATAAAATGAAATTGAATTGACAAAGATTATTTCTAAGTTCTTTATATTTCTTCAAATAGGTTCTGTCTGGTGTCAAAAAATTAACATGGCGGTCTCCCCATAAAGCCATTAAGGCATTCCAAATCAATGACTTTTAGTCTCATTGACTTATACAGGTTATACAGTTATACAGGATTACAAATGTATAAAAAAAATGAAATAAATTTATTTTTAATTTCCCTGCTCTGTTGTATACTCACTGGCCAATGAATTAAGCATATTAAGTAAGTGCAATTTTGCAGCTGATATGCAAAACACTTGAGTCATGTGAGTTACCATGTGTTCATAAGCTCTTATTTAAGAATGCTGTTGATCAGTATGGTCATTAAGTTTATGAAAATGGGAAAAACGAAGAACTTGACGGAATTTCAAAAAGGGCCGATTGTGGGTGACTGTCTCGCTGGAGTTACAATATCAAGAACTGTAGAGCTGACTGATTTTTCCAAAGGTAAGATAGCCCAAGTGTTCAATTGATGAAGAAATAACCCCCAGTCGATGTCTAAAAGAAGTAACTGTGGCTCCAAAACGGTTAATTAGGAACGCGACCGACGTCGTCTGAAAAAGGCTAGTGTGGAAGAAAAGGACTTCCTCTGTGCATCAATTGACGGAATAATTTAATAACTCTCGTTCCTGACCCATATCTACCCAAACTATGCGCAGGGAACTGAAAAGAATCGGTATGACAGTCGCAGGCCTATACGAAAATCGTTGATTTCTGCGAAGAACAGGAAAGTTCATCTATAGTGGTGCCAAGAGTGCCGTAATTGGACATCCGACGAATGAAAGAAAGTAATATGGTCAGACGAATCACGATACACCTTATTCTGTACCGACTATAGGCAGAGGGTTTGGAGGGAGCCCCATGAAGCAGTGGTCTCTGCTTGTCTCATTAACTCGTCAAGGTTCTGGTGAGGGTGTTATGGTATGGGGCATGTTCTGTTGGGACGGAACTGGTCCGCTGATATTCCTAGAAGGTCAGGTGACTTCCAACGAGTACCTGAACATTTTTATCGATCAAGTTCGTTCTGCGATGTTTCATTTTTTTCCTGCATGTGACGGCTCTTTCTTTGATGACAATACTACTGTCCATCGCGCAAGAATTGTTTAGCAGTGGTTCGGCGAGCACGAAGACGATTTTCGCCAACCACCCCGGCCACCACACAGCCCAGATCTTAACCCTATCGAGATTTTATGGGACATGTTAGAACGACAGATCCACCAGCAAAGTTCGCTTCCGTCAAATCTGTGCGAACTAAAGGAAAGTCTAGTGAATGCCTGGTGTGCATTGGACTTAGAAGCACTTCAGCACCTTGTAGAATCCATGCCAAATCGAGTAAATGATGTAATTCGAGCTAAAGGTGGTCCAATAAAATATTAAACTGCTGTTTCTAATTCATTGGCCAGTGAGTGTACGTAACACAAGGAACGTATGGCAATCGGTCAAAAGGCATACATGACGCTACTTTTTATATTATACAGTAATTACACGTGTTCACCATCTAATCCTCATTTACCATACATAAAATTTATTCCATAATTTTATTACACAAAATAGTTTTGTAATGTACAATATATATAATAATAAATACAGCTACTTCTATAATTTAGAAATTACTATATAAGCGTTCAAAATAATTTCCCATGAAAGAGTTTTAAGTTAATTAAAGCTTGGAAAACTTATTATTATTTAATGTACAATACGTTTATATATTCAAGCTGCCAGTCTTATTTTTATTGATTTTGCGAAGCATCATTTCGATGGCGAATATTACAGTAGAAAGAATATAGCCCGAAACTAACAGTAAGAAAGGACTTAAGAGAATTTCCACGACTAATGGGTGAATAGCTGATTCTTCATTATTTTCCGGAAGTTTAAAATTAATCTGACGATTACTAATTCCCGACTCAAATAGACGAGCAATTCTAATTAATAAAAACTGAAAATTAGTTTACAAATATATAATATAATTAACATTTATTAATAGTTCTTACATTTTGTTAACTTTATTTTTATACGGAAATCCAAGCTTCATTGCATATGACATTGTGTAAGTAGCTATAATATCTTCAGACATTCGAAAATGCGAAGCTCCTAAACTATCCATATGAGATCTTAAAATTATGTTTCCACCAATAAAAGCAAAATGATAATCTTTCATCATTCGTTTCATTGCTGTGTCGTATGTGTAAAAGTTATTGCGAGAAATGACATTTTCAGCTATTATTTTCATATGTCTTGATTTCGATTCCTAGAAGGTAAAAATTTCCTAATTAAATATTGTTTTCTCTCGATTTTAAGGAAAATTTACTCAAAATATTTTGTAATATCATTTTATATATACAGAGGGAAAGTGTGGCGATCAGATTTAAAAAATGATTCCCAAGATTTTTAGATTTGTGGACTCGGGACATTGAAAAGTTAAGAAATGCAAAAAGAAATTCGGGGTTTTTTCCTATATGTATGAATGTTATTGTGCCTGTGTGGATGGCATGGTTATTCCTCCTCTGAAGCTTAATAAATCTTGTACTTTTCGTCGAAAATTTCTAAAATTTTGCAGGGAGATTTGTGAATTAGATGATAGATGCTATTAAATTTTGGTGGATAAAGGGCGAAGAGGTGGAATATAAAGGGGTGTCGTGTATCATATCTCTAGTACGGTCGGACTTAATGACGAGTTTCTCGTTAATAGCATTTAAGACTTTTTATAAAACTCATCCTTTTACCCAAAATTAAGCTTTTTACTATTTTATAATAATCAAAAATATAAAAAGTTTTTTTAAATAAAATATCATAACAGATGGCTCCAGACACGCATATTTAAATACTGCCGGAAAAGTTAAGTAACTCGTTACTGAATTTTTCTTAATATGGCAAACTCTGCCATACAATTATTTTTATCTGAATAATTTTTTTTGTTATTCTTAACTAAGAAAAATAGTTCTATCGAAGCTATTGAAACACAATTCTGATATTACTTTTAATTTAATAAATAAATTTTTTGGACGAATGATTTTTAGACATTTCGTTGTCAGGGAAACAGTTTTACAAAATAGAAATTCATTAATAAATAATAAATAATAATAATACTATAAATAAACTGCAGGTAAACAGTATATGTCGGGTGACAATCTCACAGATTGCCAGATAGGTTTTATAAAAAGTAAAGCAGAATTCCTCAAAACATAGCAATTATTTTTAAAGTGGCCCAAAAAGCAGTAAAAATATCTCAGTCTGCTATTTGTAGCCCAATGTTGCAATCCTGAAAACCAGTCATATTTTATGAGATAAGAGAAAAAAAAAGGTAGTCCATGTAACACTACTTTTTTTTTCTCTTCATAACACCCGAAAATGTGTTACTGTAAAAGCAAAAACATATTGACTAGATTAGAGTTATTCTTGGTCTATTGTTCTTTTATAGAATGGATGCACTTCTATCTAAACCAGTAATTTTCCGCGACAGGATCGTAGGTATACCGCGAAAATTTCTGAAAATTATTAAATAAATTATTTTCGAAAGAAGTCCAAAGGACAATAAGAGTATCCTACATATCAAAATATAGTAAAATATACATTATATATTCATAATCAAAATTATATATGCATAACGCCGGGTTATTTGATTTAAAGTTAAATTTTCTTTAAATAAAAAATGTATCTATAATTGTCCATAGTTAGTTCAAATTATTTTAACTTAGAAATATCGGGACATTGGGCAGGTTTCTAAAAACAATTGTCATTCCACTTTTAAGTGCAAATTAAGACTTATGTGCTTGCGAAAGACAAGCACATAATGTCTTTCTTATGTAAATAAAAATTATTAATTTAAATAACTATTGTTGTAACCTGCTGCTATTTTAAGGAACAACAATACTGTTTTATTTATTTCACAAAAAACAAAATATAGACAAAAAGAATTAGGACAATTCGGACAGAATTTTCACTTTGAATTTTTAAGTACAGTTGACCCCCTATAACACTGTTGATTATTCCATTTTATATGAATTCCATGTTGTACGAGTCACTTGGATTTTACAAATACGTGTGCCGGACTGTAAACGGCTCACGTATTTGTAAAATCTAAGTGACTCGTACAACATGGAATTCATATAAAACGGAATAATCCACAGGGTTATAGGGGGTCGACTGTAGTCGTATTTCGAACTAACCGAATTCCCTAACATGTAAATCTCTATATTTCCGACCAGGACAAAAAATACAGTTACGAACTAATGGAATTTCGAACTATCTGAGTTCGAAGTAACGAAGATTTCCTGTATTACAAAATATATACACAATGTTGAATAGAATGTTAAATGAGAAATAGACGGCCGGATGGCCGAGGTGGTTTGAAGATCACATAATAAACGTAATTGGAACTGTCACTCAAGGCATGTTACGTAACACCTGGAGAGAAATCGAATATTGTCTTCATTGTGAATGTAATGCATGTTATTACATATCGAGATTTCTTGAAGATGTAAAATCTTTTCGAATTTTCTCACTAATTAGGGAAAATCTTATGGCTGTATCTATTCTCCAAAAACAAATAAAATGAGTTTCTGTAATCCGTCAGTTCTTTTTCGTGAATATTTGCTATGTGACATGTCTTCAAGTGTTGTTTATGTCCCTACTTGAAAGTGTAGTGTTTGGCTGTTTGTATGTTTTAATCTATGTCGTTTAAGGTTCGTTTCATAACTGACAACAGACCAGTTTTCCCTTCTCAGGGAATTTGTATGTGAGCCCGAGACGTAACCTGTATAATAAAATTTAAAAGTTAATTTATATAATTTCCAGTGCAAATAGGAGAAGATTTCAAGGAGAAAATAAGAAATATAATAAAACGAAATTATTACGTCAGAATGTATAGAGTGACTTGAAAGAAGTTAAGGGAGGGGCCCTGATCGGCCTTATCAACTATCGTTTCTTCCTATTAGTCCATTTAGTCCATTATATCGAAAGTCTTAGTGTATGCTATTGTTTCTTAGTTCTACAGTATATGTTATAACTTCATACAGTTATATTGAATTATACGCCTACATACAACTTTATAATTTCAAAGATTGCAATATTGATAATTAAAGATCAGATACTAAAACAAATTTTGTATACAGCTAATCGATTTATAAAACGTTTACTTACAAATAATAACTTTGTTATAGCGCCATATTTTTCAATTCCAACTTCATATTCTCCATTTTCGATAGCAGTTGACAATTCAAAAAAAGTTCTAGGAACTGGATTTACAAAAGGACAAGTCAAGAATGACATAAGAACACCAGTATAACTCCAAACTAATGTAACAGTAGTTAACAACCAAATTCCTATTACAAATCTAGAGGGAAAACTACGAAATAATGTCAAATCGTCTCCTAAAATAAATTATGAAACCAAAATTGTTTAATTTGCATTAGGTATTAGCAATACAATTAATTCTTACCTTGGTTGGTGAAAGTTTTGAAAATAAACCAAAACATTTTTCTTTTAGACCATAGTTTATCGTTTCCATGCAGTGATAAGTCTTTATTTATGATAGGGAATACAGTTAGGGCATATAGTATTGCAACAACAATTATAATAATCCATAACTGAAATTATAAAGCATTTTATTATGAAATTTGAAACAGATTTAATACAATGAGAAATTGCTTACCTCTTTGGAAAAAGGTTTATATATAGCAGACAAATTAGGTTTTCGTTCTGGTGATCTCAATACGAATACTCCTTGGGAAAACATTAAAGGTGAGGAATAATGAACAATAGCGAATCGATCGTATGTTATGTAAACGGGTACAAATGAAAAATCTGCTTCCTAAAATTTATGAAAAATGTACAACTCACAAACGTTATGATTTTCATAAAAGTTCATTCAATTTATGATAATTAAAATAAAATTAAAAGTTATGCAATAAGCTTACTTCAAGTTTTTTCTTTTGTTTCATTTACTTTATAAACTAGTTTTTTAAATATTTAATATAATGTACAGTACCTGTACATGTTTTACAATGATTATAAAATATAAAACATTATTTATTTATTTTAATTTAATGTAATTAATTACAAAATGAATCAATAAAAATATTTAAATACTGTTATGAAACAAGTAATCGAATTTAATATCGTTTACTAAATAGTTAAAGCGAGTCGATAGACATTAAACATTTCAATGTGATAACACTGTATCTTTATTATATTTATTATTAATATTATTTTTTTTAACTCTTTCTTCCCCATTGGCACAAGAAAACATTTCAAACCATACCTATCATGGATTCGGCCAGGACCACAATAAGGGTGGCCTTGTGTAAAGGATCGATGCCCTAGATATTCAAGATATTCGGAATATTCGGATGCCTTATTAAATGTTAACAGTTAACCTATATTTAAGCATATTTTCTTTTTTTCTTTGGCTACATTTTAGACGTCAATGTAATGAGTAATGAGATGCTGTTCAGTGATAAAGATTAAAATGTAATCCCTTTCTTAAGTGAAGTATTATAGGTCCTCGATTTAATGAACAAAAATTTCTGTCTTAAAAGAAGAATTTAGATTATCTACTCTCTCTATATAAAATGATTAAGATAGACTGTTTTTCTGTGGGACGTTCAAAAACTTTGTGACGTTCGACCGATTCCAAAAAAAGAATACTTCTTCTACATTCAAATTTGATGGAAAAAATGTAAATGATTTTTGTGTGATCTGAATAAAAAAAAAAATTGTTTCTTCCAATTAATTTGAGTGTGTAGATGCATTTCGAAACGGATCTGAACTTGGTTTACGTTATGGAATCCTCACTTGGAATTAGAGAGATGTATACATATTAGGGAAATTTTCGTCAAGAATAGTCTATATTGGGAACAAGTGGGCGAAGCAATATTAATATATCCTGTATCTTTATAAGTTCGTTATGAATGTTTTTAACGGACTTTTTTACAACAGTGGGCACTCCTTTCTCAAATTAATTTGTTAAATCGATGGCCTACTTTAGATTTTTTTTAATAATAATAATATTTTTTCAAAATATTGCTTTGGACTTTGGCTCATAAACCTAACATACAACAGACTCATCATATACTAGCCAATGTTTATTTAACAATTAAGTTTTCACAAAAATTATAATATGATAAGTCTGTTGTAAGCTAAGCTTATATTTAAAATATTTTAAAGTATTAAATTTCGAACTTCAAATAACGTGTCTTGCTAGAGAGTTTATTCATCAATCCTTTATTTTTATATTCAAATAAGAGGAAAACCTTTTTGATGCATATTGTTATCCAAGTGTTTAAACACTAAAATATGAATTTAGTGAATAAACTCTTCTAGAAAAAAGTCCTCAATGTAATGTTTTTTTCCCTATAAAAGATTAAGCAAAAGTTCACTCATCAAATAATCGAAAATTTTCATTGATTCTTTCAGCAACAGTAGAAGTATGTAAAATACCGAAGTTCATATTAGTAAATCAATAAAATTACTAAATAAACGATTATATCTTACTTTTGTTGCTATTTGTCCAATCATTCCTTTCCAAGAGCCATTTTTATCCTTGGATCCAAACCATTGAGTTATAGGAGTAACTAATTCATATCTAAAATATATGATTTAAAAATTAATATTCGATGCTTAATTCAAGTAAAGAGAAATTTTTTAACAAGTTTTTTTATTACCTAAATTTTAATTTCTGTTGAAAAGTTTTAAAAGTTTCAAACTGGCAGCCTCCAAGTATATATTTTCTAGATTCATCCAATGTCATAAGTTTAGTATTCTAAACAGAAATAGTTTAATTTAAACCATTTAAATTTTAAATATTAGACATTGTGTCATTTGTAATTATCACAATATTTTAAAATATTATTACGTTTATTCCGGCAATTTTCCATATAATTTCTTCGTTTTTGTATCCTAAAATGTTATAACTTTCTCAAATTAAACATAAATACAATGTAGAAATAATAAATTTTACAATATTCTTAATAAATATAAATACAGTCAAACCTCTGAACAACGGCTACTGATGAGAACATAAAACATGGCCGTTGTTTGAACGTTATTTACATGCATTTTTATTCAACGCTCCTGAAAAAATGCCCATCATTTAGACATGGCATTTGGCCATTCAATGGCCATTGTTGTGGCCTGCATTGAACGTTCGACAGGATTTTTCTTAATTGAAAATTGAATAATAAATTTTAAAAAAATATTGGAGCTTCGAAAATACATCATATACAGTGAAAACTGCTTAGGCGATCACCTGCATTCGACGGGCACCTGCCAAAACGGGCAAAAATTTCTGGCACGGAATAGTTTATCCATAGAGTCTTCGTATAAGTTACTCGTATTAAACGACCACCTGTGTAACGCGACCGCGGGCATCGATTTTTTGTCCGAAACAACATACAACACCTGTAATAAGCGACCACTTTCGCGAATGTATCTGGTCTAAACTATTGTAAGAACCCATCTCAACAACGTTTCCACCTCTTAACATAATGAATTAGTCTAAACTCTCGTTCGAACCCATCCCGGGCACTTCTCCCACTATCGAAATTAGGTGCAGGTGTTAATAAATTAGTCTAGCAACAAAGGAAATTCATTTCAGTTTGTTGGAAAATGTCCGAAATTCAAAGTGCTATCGTTAGAAGATCGTATTAAAGTTATCACAACAGCAATTAGCGGCGAAATTTAACTGTGGGAAAACAAAATTTATTTTACCCTAGACCTACAGTATTTTCCTTGGGGGTGTAAAATATTGTACACGATACAATTAATCGGCTGATCTCATCGTTTGATAAAATCTATTTTTATTTATTTATTTTGAAGCTCATATACAGTACACGTGCGATAAATAGTTTCTGTATCAACCTACCTTATTTCCACGATATTTTTAGAAAAATAATATCCAAGTAATTTTCGCAGGCAAAATATTCAAAAAACAATAAACGCATTAATGCAAAAATCAGTTTTACTTCCTTTTTCGATTCCGCGATTGTAATGAAATCGTATAATGAGAAAAAATAATAAAATCGTTTTATTATTAATTAATAATTTTTCTTATTGTACTTAATTAATTAAGAAAATATTAAATATTAAAAAATACAGTATTTTTAAAGTTAAAATAAGATTAAACTAACGAAAACCAAAAGCAAAGTGATGGAGAGATAGGACGCGCTTGTATATTGATGACGTAATACACGTAACTGAGGAGCGAACGAAAAGAACCGAGTCGAATTAATTAAGTCGGAAAAAAGAAAGTGTGCATTATAATCGAGAAAATGCGAGTATTGTATTAATCTTTAAAATATTGGTGTTAAATCTGTCTTATAATATCATGACGACTCCTGTAAATCGGGTTATCCGATAAGAATAAAATACAATACCAATATAGCCCTATCGTTGAAAAAATTCGGTTATTTTTGCTCAACTCGAGTTTTGCTTAGTACAAATGGCTAAAAAGTGCGCAAAATACTACGGAAATACGGTATTACAGCACCACCTGTATTGGACAACCACCTGCCTAAAAGACCACTTTTTGAAGGAACCGTGGGTGGTCGCAATAGAAAGGTTTTACTGTATATATATATATATATTGCACAATAAACAAAATGTTAATTTTGTTTATTGGTTAAAAACAAAAGTTAAAAACTAATTGAAACCTTTAATTAAATATAATAAATTAATAAATATATTTATTAATAAATATATTAATAAATAAATATATTTATTAATCATAAAAATATTTTTATGATTAATAAATAAATAGTTTTTCAAGTATATAAGGTAGGTAAACAAATTGCACAATAAACAAAATGTTGATACAATAATGTTTGACTAGACATAAGTTCTTTGTCTTTATTTTTATGATTAATAAATAAATAGTTTTTCAAGTATATAAGGTAGGTAAACATATTGCACAATAAACAAAATGTTAATTTTGTTTATTGTGCAATATATATATATATTGCACAATAATTTTAATTTTAAAAAGTTTCGAAATTGTTTTAAATATATAAAATATATACAGTATTATATTAAATAATAATAATAAAATATACTCACCTAGAATACATGGAAATAGAATTATAACCAGTGAGATTTCTATTGTTTTGAAAATCATTTTACGTTTTTTACTGTAAAAGAAGATAAATAATAATTATTTAAGTAATAATAAACTTTTATGATTGTGTTTAAGGCTGATTGTAACCTCCTTTTTTTATGTACTGTACGCGATTTCCAGCAGAGGGTGGTAAAATTATATTGCTTTTTCTAAGGAAAATTTTTTTCCCAGAAATTCTGGAAACGAAAATTGATAGAACCCACAGATTATGGAGTAAATAGACGACTCTTTAAAAGTGTTTGTAGCCGATAACAGGCAGAACCATTCATTTGTTTGGAGTTCGTTCAGTGAAGATTATCCTCACACAATAATGTTTGACTAGACATAAGTTCTTTGTCTTTATTTTTATGATTAATAAATAAATAGTTTTTCAAGTATATAAGGTAGGTAAATATTTTTTGTTGATATGTTATACAGTATTGTTAATACGAACGATATTAACTGTAACTTGAAATCTGCCATCTTGATTTAAAAAAATATATATATATATTATTAATATAATTATATTATCTATAATGATTTATTGAGTTTAATATTTGAGTAAAATAAAAATATTATAATAGTTATATATTTACCAATTTTCCTTTATACAGTAGGGCTACATATTTTTAAAAGTATGGATAAAAAATAATAAAGCTCCTATTCTCACTCAGATTCTTTAATTAACAATATACAGTCAACACACCTTAATACTGAGAACGCACATTTATTGAGCTAAACAAACGTTTTCAACCCATTTCATGGGCCATCATTAGGTTAAAGACGTTCGAATCTAAACAATTATGTTCGATAATTGCTTAGATTCGAACGTCTTTAACCTGATGATGGCCCATAAAATGGGTTGAAAACGTTTGTTTAGCTCAATAAATGTGCGTTCTCAGTATTAAGGTGTGTTGACTGTATATTGTTAAAGAATCTGAGTGAGAATAGGAGATT